AAAGAGAAAATTCCTTGGTGGCCAAAAGCGGGAAAAAAAACAAGTTTTTTAAAAAAAAAAAAAAAAAAAAAAAAAAAAAAAAATCTCTCCACATTAAAATAAAAATAAAATACCAGGCTAAAGGGTTGATGCTGAAAAAAGAATTGAAGTGAAACCACTAAAGCTAACACTGTTGCTTTCATGTTAGCATTTAATTTCAATGGGAAATGAAATGTTCAATTGCAACATTTAATTTCCCTTGGAGATCAGTAAAGTAGTTGTGAATCAAACGAAACTGAAACTAAGTAAGCTAAGCTAAAAACTGAATGCAGCCTGACTGAGGGAGATAAAAACATAACATGTTTGTTCAGTAAGACTAAAAACCAAAGAACCACCGCTGGTTAAAGTGGTACTTATAGAAATGGTTTTGAAACACTTGCTTAATGAGATTGTTAAACAATCCGATTGGTTTCATTCAGAACGGGGGGGGGGGGGATTCCCAGAGAATTTAGTCAATGTAGACTAGTTGGGAGAGTTGGAAACAAAAATCCTGGCGTCATGGATGTCCAAGCCGATAATTCACCTCTGCCTACAGGTAGACTACGAAAGCGAAGACGAGGGCGAAGGCGACGATGCCGAAGAGGATGAGGGCGAAGAGGAGAACAGCCAGGCAAACGCTGTGGAGGAGACCCAGCCTGAGTCAGCAGACACTGGAGAGCAGCAGCAGCAGGAGGAGAAGAAGAAGAAAGAAATGAAAGCGGAGCAAGGGGGAGAGTCCTCGGTCCAGATGAGGGTGAACTCGGTTCTGTCGTCTAACTCGGCCATACAGAGATACTCCTTCGATCAGCAGGAAGAACTCTGGTGTGAGGTGAGTCAGGTTACACTTTAGAGAGTTACAGTAAACTACAAGTAGGCTGCAAACCGTCAGAATTATTGGTCTATATTTGTGCAAAATGGTACACCTATGTAGGAGTTCAATCAATGTTTATTATTATACTTGATTAATGACTTTTCTTTAATAAGTTACTTTGAGAATCTGCTACAAACTACACTAACAGGAGATTTCAGGTACGTTCTCTTATCGCTCGTATGTCAGATTTAAAAGTCTTAAATCTGAGACTTTTGGGAAAAATACAAGAAACAGCCCCTGAAATCAGAATTCCAGCTGGAAATATTGGAACTTGCCTGCCTAAAAACGGTGGGTTTTTAGTCCATAAAGGCTGTCACCATACTGAATGTAGTGAAAGGTGCCTGGTGTGGGTTAGGCCCAAGGTTTGCTCAGACTTTAAACTTCCCCCGCTGTTCTGTTTCGTCCCGTCAGCTCCGATGTGCTAACGACTTGCATGAAATGTGACCATTCACACAGGTGGAGCTGGAATTCCCCATGAACAGGATCCACTTCGACCTGACCTCGGTGCTGTCGACTCTGGCCCAGAACGCCGTCATCATGGAGACCCGGGGCCTGACGCGGTGCCTGCTGAGCGAGACCACGACCAAGTCTGGGGAAAAACAGACGGTTCTCAACACAGAGGGCATCAATATGCATGAAATCTTTAAGTACAACGATGTACGTCGGTCGCATTCCACACAACCTGCAACACACTTACTCCATAATTTATGCCACACTTTGTTGAATCACTCTTGCACTGAATAACAAGAGATTACACAGTAAACTAAGAAGCATATGTCAAGAGATATATATGAATGAAAGAACCTGAAATTACAGCTCAGTGGCAGGTTCTGTTATTATCAATAATGTGTTGTAAAGCTTCAACTTTTTCAGACATTTCTCTCCATGTATAGACAGGTTGCATGTTATTGTTTACATCCGGACATTTTACACATGCGCACAACGCTGAAGGGCGATGAAATGATTGTTTTACTTTCCATTAATAGCCACACAGCAGCTATGGAACTATCCTATTAACTCAATTAAACCTGGACCTGTAGCATTATTAATTCAGTGCAGTGTGTCACAAGAAAGGCATAAATAATGCAGAAAAACGGTTGTTCAAAACCACTCATATTCTCCTACTCCCTCGCTCTACACCTGCTCTGCTGATGATCTGTCAGTCAGTGTGTGGGTCGCCTTTCTTTTTTCTAACTGAACCAAAACACAACAAACTCCACAGCACAGCTACATGTTAAGGTTGTCAAAGTCAAGTTAGCGTAACTGATCTAGCATGACTAGATCAGCATAACTGATCTAGTCGGCCAAGATCCAGATCTTGGCTAGATCTAGCATAACTGATCTAGCTAAGCTAGATCAGTTAGGGTTAGGGTAGGTAGTAATTTTTTTTTATTAAAATGTTGTAGTGTTGACAGTTAGTAGCAAAGCACTGCATCCCTTTTTCTTTCATACACAATGCTACATTTAATATTTAGCATGTTATGTTGACAACTTAACAGCTAAAGCCAATGCTAAGCTAGCACTTTTTTGCCCTCCAGCAGGGCGATGGGGCAGGGATCTTCTGTCCATGACGTCACATTGCAACATGTCTATATTAATATTAGAATCTGATTAGTTGTTGCATTTACAAGTTCAGCCATCGTTCAAGACTTGAGGAACACGGTTTAGCATTTTAACCTCAGCAGATATCCTCATGTTCCAGTTCCACCAGTGTGTTTAGTTGTCACATGATCAGCTTGTGTCTCCAGATCCTGGACGTCAACAAACTGTACTCCAATGAGGTCCATGCCATGGCCAGCACCTACGGGATCGAGGTGGCTCTGAAAGTCATAGAGAAGGAGATCAAAGACGTCTTTGCAGTTTATGGTACGCGCGCGCGTGCACGCGCACACACACACACCTGTGCTCTAACTCACACAGCATTACTACAGTGTTTAAAAAGGTCTGGAAATTAATTAATTTTCTAGTCTAGATCAGGTTTGATGGAATTCATTTTTTTTCCTGACTTTTTCCATCTATCCACACATCCATTTGTCTATTATCTGACTCCCTTTTTCCTTTGATTCTTCCGTCCCTCCTTTTGCCTTTCTTCCTTCTTTCTTTCCCTCCTTCCTTCCTTTTGTCTTCTTTCTTTCCTATTGCCTTCTTTCCTTACTTTACTTCCTTTTGTATTCCTTCTTTCTATCATTCCTTCTTGCTCATTCCTTTGTCTTCTTTTTCTTCCATATTATTGCATTCCTTCCTTTCTTTCTATTACCATCCTTCCTTCTTATTGCCTTCTTTTCTTTTTTTTGTCTTATTTATTTTTGCAGATTTAATGTGTAAAGTCTGACCTCTACACCCACATCTGTCATATTTATCCTGAAAGAATCCCCAGTTGATTTGAGTATAGAAAACTCTGTAACGTTGAACAAAACATGCAGAACTCTTCGAGCACACGGCTCTCAGATTGTGACCCGGTATCTCTGACCCCCGTCTGCAGGGATTGAGGTTGACCCCAGGCATCTGTCATTGGTGGCAGACTACATGTGTTTCGAAGGCATCTACAAGCCGTTAAACCGACACGCCATCATGTCGAACTCGTCCCCTCTGCAGCAGATGACCTTCGAGACCAGCTTCAAGTTCCTCAAACAGGCCACCATGCTGGGTAAGAAATGGAGGGAAACAGTGGATCTTGAGTCTAATTTGATTTTCATACTTATGGGATGAAAATGGCTCCTGTCTTTGAGCATGTAATTGACATTCCTCCAGCTTTGGTTCACTTGTTTTAACCACAATCCATTCAGTAACATACAGTGGTTTACAGAAATCAACATGGTCAGTTTCTTTCTTGGTCGTTGATATCTTTGCTCTTTTTTTCCTTTTTTCATTAACTGCTATTCATTCTGACTCAGGGTCACGTGATCAGCTGGTTTCACCCTCCGCCTGCTTGGTTGTGGGGAAGGTGGTCAAAGGTGGAACAGGGCTGTTTGAACTGAAGCAGCCTCTGCAGTAGGACGAGCCGCTGGCAACTGTTTGCGTGTTTGTTGATCTCAATCCTGCAGCTGAAGCGCCACTTGTCTGGAATTCAGACAGGAATGTTATGTTTAATAGGTTTTTTAATAGTACTTTGCAAACCAAATGTCCTGTTAGAAAAGGTTTGATGTGGAGATTAATGTAACCCACTGTGTATGCCTTTATGCATATATTGTATGATACAGTAAATAATTAAAAGTTCCTGTTCAAAACTTTTTAAACTGAGACTTTACTATCAGAATTGTTTGGAAGGCAGCCTACATCTCCATTGTTTCCTGTGTCAAATGATGTACAAAGTATTAATAAATGTGAATTGTTTAGCGGTTTTGTGCGTGCAGGTTGGTTTGTAACTGTATCATGTGCGTGTAATCTGAAAAAAAAGCAGAAGTGATGGGTGTTGCCCTGTCGCTGATTGGCTGGCTGCGTCAGCGGCTCCTTGAAGAAGGTTACATATGGAGTAGGCTCCCCGCTGAACCTGGAGAGCAGCTCATTTTATTTTACCATGAAGAGTCACCGGAGTCCATGCGAGGGTAAGGACACTTTTAAGTAAGGGAGCAAACTGTATGAGATGTAGGACGGCTATAAGTAGATAAAGGCCAATAGCGGACGATTTTCGTAAAGGGTAATTATGGCTATTGTAACCGAACTGCAGCTCATTTTTAATGTGGCTTGATTAATGTTTAAACATTTTAAAAATTAGACATTTTACCACCTCTTGACGCTGTGGTAAAAGAACTCAATATTCGAAAATATCTAGCTTAACTTCTGGTTTTACTCGGATGTAAAAGGAAGACGTAAGGAATATGAGCGATAGCTTAATGTAGCGATAGGTAATGTCCTAAAACGCTCGAGCGTCCCGCTGTAACTTGCACGCGAACCTCTCGCTATTTAAACTGAGCCTGAATCGCACCAAAACACCCCGTTACAGACAGCGCCATTTTGCTCCCCGAACAAATCGCAGTTTGTCCCCCTGCCTGCTTATAGACCCACCGACACTGACCACTAAATCATAAAAAAATAGAGCCATTACTGAACTCCTTTCATTAGTATGTTACGGTCCAGAGTTATTTCATTAAACAGTATCAGGCGGAGGCCTTTTACTCTGTTAAAATTTTAGCCATTTAAAAGTGGGAAAACAAGATAAAGCTCGAGTTAGCATCCGGTTCAGGCCTTCAGTAAGGGTTTTTAAAATGTATCTTTTATGATGCTAAACCTCATATTTTGTTAAAATTGAATCTTTATGCTTTGTATGCTTATCTATGATTTATATAAATTTTAACTTAAAGAAGTAACGTTCACTGTTGTGTAGGTGTTATGGTTCTGAGCTTAAGAGATCAAAGTTGGTACAGAAAAAAAATTAATAAAATCAATCTGACTGTCGTATATGGGACAAACGCAATATCTTTTGTGCAGATAACAACCTGCGTTTTAGCCAGCAGCCAGTCGGTTTGAGGCTCTCGGAAATCTAATTACCGTTTCAGCTTTGTTACATATTTTTCTCAGGCGTGTATCTCATACTGAACTTAATGAGAATTTTAGGAAATCCAAAGGTTTTATTGAGAAATGCATTACTCTCGAGGCACGGGTGAAACTAACGCCACCTACCAGCATGAATTAAGCCAAAACCTATATTGAGTTTAAGATAAAAAATATTCTTATTTTCTACTCGCAACCCCACGTGTGGCAGTCTTGGCTTCACCAGGTTCAGATTCAGTTTTTTAAAAAATTAGCACCTTTTGCTACCCAGTTATGAATTGGAAATCCAAATATTGGCCAATATGAATTGCATTTTGGGCAATAAAATGCATTTTTTTTTTTGTAAAAAGTTAATTGAATAATTTGTTTATTTGCATGTTTAATGTATTTCTAGTATTGTATAATACAATTCTTGAGTAGTTTAATGAAAAATCAGTATAATAACTAACGCAAGTAACCGACTACCTGTTAGTCACAGCTCTAAACTGGGTAAATATTTTAATGCCTGAGATGATGATAGTCATTGCTGTTTCTCTGTGGTGTGTTCACGGACAGTCAAACCGAACAGAGTGTGTAAGCTGACAGTCATCTGACCCCAGACACTGGGGAAGTAGGAAATGTATCCAACCACCAATCCTTTGAATTAGCTCACATTAGCCACAGAAGCTCCTCTGTTCTGATAGTCTGTGGACGAAGAGAAATACGGTGTGTGTGTGCATGTGTGTGTGTCCAGGACAGGATGCCTGAGAGCCAGAGGGCTCCGAGCTTCAGCCGGGAGACCCAAGGTGATCGATGGATCCACGGCGGATGACAACATGAAGCTTTTCTTGCGCAGTCCAGCACACAGGTGATCACTACTCACCCATTCACATTGTGTCGGTGTCTGTGGCTGAGAACTCCTCTCTTTGGTGTGGAACATTAGGAAACAACAGTTATTGTTTGGCAGTGTCGCTGGACTGTACATGCATGTCATTTGGACCCAAATAGGCAAATATGTCATTCCCATAATTTGCATGTCAGCATGACAACAGCAGAAATGCGGGTTCAAGGACAGAAAATGCAAAAGAAAAATCCAGACCAGTACTGTTTCTATTCATCATCTGATTTTTCCATTTATGCAAGACTACTGGTTTGCTGGGGCAACAAGTCCAGCAACCCAGACATCCCCCTCACATTGACTTGGGCATTGAAATTGGGCCTTTGTCTCTTTAAGAAGCTTCTGCTCTTTGAGAAGTCATCACACCATGGCTCCTCTATTAACGCTTTAACAACGTTTTTACCAGCGTTGCACTCAGTAGTACTTTGTATAATGAGCTCAGCAGATGTGCAGTTCCACCTGGTGTTTGCAAATTGCTGCTGGCTAGTCTGAAGGAGCTGAGTGGGGAATTGGAGAGGAAGGCTGCTCTGTGAGGTGGAAGCTTGTAAACTGCAGATCAAAGGAGGAACTTCATCCTCAGAGGCAGGGCTGGGTCCAATCAGGTGTTTTGGACAGCTGAATGGTTGCTGAAAGGATTTCTCAAACATGCATGAAAGAATCAAAGCAACACTCCAGGTCTGTTTTTGATCAGGAAATAACACTACAACATGATGTAAAGCTCAAAAAAGTCGATTTTACATAAAACTGTCCCTTTATCTTATCTAAGCATTAAAATTACACAAATGCAGAAAATAAATTAGTACATGCAACATGTATAATATGGTAAACCGTATTTGGTGACCCACATCTCTTCCCTTCTGTTTCATAAAGAGCAAAACTCCCAACCTTTATTCTCCATCCATTGTCTTTGCCAGCTTACCGTTGCAGGGTTGCTGTCACTGGTCCATCACTTTCCATAAACAACTTCTGTTTATGGAAATGCACAGAAGCTGCATTTCCATAAACCACAGAAATTTGCTAATTGGAAATTACAAAAACAAATTATCTTAATGAAAACATGCCAATTAGAAAAAAATTAGTTTTTGCACTTGGATGAGGTGGATTTTTTGACTGTGTAGATGTATCTCCCAAAACTGCAGTGGAAACCTTTTTATTTTATTTTTTTTTCCCCACATGACACGAATAACGTGATCAACAGTCGGATGTTGCTACTGGAGGAACTGACAAAAAGATGACAGGAAGTGGTAGGAGGATGGTTTGTTTTTGGTTTTGTTGGACGATGTTCAGCGGGCTCCACCAGAACTCTCACAGCATCACACAGTCCGTACAAAGTCGTGTGTCGCTTTTCTGGAAAATGGTCGACTGTTTTTCCCGAAATGCCGCGTGCGAAGCTGCTGCCACGTATAAGGGGGTTGTTGCTCCGATGCCTGAATAAGATGCTGATGTTGCTGCGTCCGCAGATAAAAACCTCGAATAGGATCTCAGCTGCTGACCTGAAACTGTCAATCGAACGCTCGACTCTGTAACGCCTCGAATGTGGAAGTCATCAGAAACATGAACGTACTTCCTCTCTATGACTCTATGAATGTGGAAGTCATTAGACTTCCACATTCATAGTCATAGAGAGGAACGTACTTCCTCTCTATCACTTTTCATGTTTCTCTTTAGCTTTATTTTTTTTTAAGCCTACCTGTTTGATTTTTTTTTTTCTTCCCATTTCTCTGCAGGCAGGGGAGGTTGATACTTATTGTTTTGGGTTTGCTGGTTTTGGTGATATTCTCCCTGCTGCTGATGCAGACGAGGACAGAGGAACCTTTTCAGTTTCATGTCAATTCTGCACATAAACAGGTGAGGGAAGCTCAACGTAGCACATTGCAACCACTTCAAGCTTTTCACGACAAGAGTTGTCTGGATTTTCAATCTGTTCTTCTAAAATAAATTTTTTTATGTAAATATGAATCAATTTTTTATGAGTTTTCCAAAGTGCTCAAGAATGATACAAATATGACCCATCCAGCACAAGTGGTGGATGCAGATGGAGACCTTTTTATATTATTATCATTATTTGTAATCAGTGTAACATTATTTCCAACTTGATTTTCTTACAATGGAAAATGTCAATCACGACACAGTATTTGTATTTTCATAACCGATCTTTTATAATGAGTAGAACCGCGACTACCCTGAGGCTTTGACGGAGAAACCGACTTTGGTGCTTGGATATCAGCTTTTATGCTCCCAGGTGTAAAAACAATACCTTGTTGCCACGGTTACGCATCATAACTGTTGGAAAGTTAAAAAAGAAAGATCAAAAATCCTTCCAGCTGCACAGTAACTTATTCAAAACAATGATGCCTGAATCCGTGAAATATTGAACAAATTAGAACTAATGTAACGCATCAAATCCAACATGCTGCCACAGTTCTGTAAGGAATAATTTATTAAAAATGGATGATCAGTCGAGTCAATGCAATCCTAGCAGCATAGAATAATTATATATATAAAAAATAAAATTCCCCTCTCACCCTCCGCGGGTGGTCTCTCTTTCATCCTCTGAGCTCGGGTCCTCTACCAGAGGCCTGGGAGCTTGAGGGTTCTACGCAGTATCTTGGCTTAGCATAGTACTGCACATTTCTGGACTGAGATGTCTGATGTTGTTCCTGGGATCTGTTTGAGCCACTGCTCCAGTTTGGGGGTGACTGCCCCGAGGGCCTCGATGACCACTGGCACCACTGTGGTCTTCACCTTCCAGGCCTTCTCCAGTTCCTCTCTGAGGCCCTGGTATTTCTCGTTTCTCGTGCTCCTTTTTCCTGATGTTGTGGTCACTTGGTATGGCTAAATCCACCACAACGGCTTTCCTCTGTTCTTTATCCACCACCACAATGTCCGGTTGGTTCGCCATTACCATCTTGTCTGTCTGGATCTGGAAGTCCCACAGGATCTTAGCTTGGTCATTCTCCACCACCTTTGGGGGTGTCCCCCATTTTGACCTCGGGGCTTCCAGTCCATATTCAGATGTTTCTGTACACTATGCCCGCCACTTGGTTATGTCATTCCATGTACGCTTTCCCTGCCAGCATCTTGCACCCTGCTGTTATGTGCTGGACTGTCTCAGAGGCCTTGCACAACCTACACCTTGGGTCTTGTCTGGTGTGGTAGATCTGAGCTTCTATTGCTCTGGTGTTTAGGGCCTGTTCCTGTGCAGCCAGGATGAGGGCCTCTGTGCTGTCCTTGAGTCCAGCTTTCTCCAGCCATTGGTAGGATTTCCTGATATCAGCCACTTCAGTTATTTGTCGGTGGTACATCCCATGTAGGGGCTTGTCCTCCCATGATGGTTCCTCCAGCACCTTGTCCTCTGTTCCCCATTGCCTGAGACATTCGCTGAGCACATCGTCCGTTGAGGCTTTGTCCTTGATGTATTTATGGATTTATATATATAT